TAAATAAAATTCTTGCGGCATAATACTGTTTCCATTTTGTCTGAATTATCTCAAAGAATGACGAACTTCATCACATTGTGCACACTTTCGTTTTCTTGGGCATTTTTGGTTAAAAAATAAAATAAAAAAGAAAGTTTATATATAATATACTGAACATTTTAATAACTTTTAAATAACTAAAATAATTTTAAGAAAATTTCACAAAAAATATTAGTCGGACAAAATGACCGATTTATGATGATTTTTACCGGACCAATGTCGGACAATGTCCGATGTCCGGCGGCTATTTCGAGCCCTGTATATATATATATATATATATATATATATATATATATATATATATATATATATATATATATATATATATATATATATATATATGTGTGTGTGTGTGTGTGTGTGTGTGTGTGTGTGTGTGTGCGATCGCACGCCTTATATGACCACGCATATAGTTCTTTGTTTTAACAACTTGACCACGATTCATTGCAAGTTTTGATAATTAGCGCATTTAAAAATTGCGCTAAAAAAAAACAAAGCAAATTAAAATAAACAATCCATAAACTGAAAAGAATTCTGTAATTTCAGGGGATCCTCAAGCTTCTATCCTAGGCCCTTACTTTTTTTTTAAATTTCTACTAATGATCTCCCAGAAATTCTCTTATCTTATGTGACATTGTTTGCTGATGATACTACCATTTTCCTGTCTTGACAAAAAGCCAACACTCTCTGATTGTTTGGAGGGGGCATTTGCGCTTGAAAAGGATCTACTTCTGCTACAGCATGGGGATTTCAGTGGCTAGTAAACTTTAACTCAAATAAATCTCTTTTTTTTTTCAGCTAATCTTCATCGCAACAATCTAGATTTTCCTATATTTATAAGCAGTAATGTACTGAATAAATCATCTACCCTTTGTCTTCAAGGATTAACTCTTACTTCTGGTCTGTCTTGAAAACCAAAAAAATCTGAACAATAGAGAAAACCAAAAAGGTTTTCTCTATTGTGCTTGCCACTTTTTTACTCCAGATTCTATTCTTAATCTTAATATTAATTCTTAATATTCTATTCTCTATAAATTTCAAATCTGTGCTTGTATGGAGTACTATTGTAATCTCTGAAGCAGATCTTCGAATGATACCTTTTCTTTTTAAGACAAGATGCAAAAACACATTGTAAACATAGTTAGACCTTCTCTTGCAGCTAAATTTCAGCCATTGTCAGATCGTTGTAATGTTGCATTTCTTTTGGTAATATTTTTACCTCTGATAGCGTAGCTTTGAGATTCATCATGCCAACAAGTACAGATATAAATTCTAATATTCAATCATACGTTCTTCTCTTTTGGTTGTTAACATTTTAGTAAATAATTTGTTTTGGAAAGTTTAATTTTAAAAAGTTTAATTTTAAAACGCCTAAACTTATTTTCTATTTATGAAATACACTACTTGTCTAATTGTCTCAGCTCTTTGAAGATTTTTACAGTTTTTACGAAGACAGTTTATTTTGATTTTGACAGTTTATTCTAACATTTTGCATTTTGTTGAATTTCAAGTCTATCTTGTCATTAACTGCAGCAGTAATTTTTTTATCATCTGTATAAAGTTTGGGTTTAGTATTAGTTTTAGAAGTAAAATCATTAATATTTAATGGCAATAGCAGTTCTCCAAGTACAGAAACTTTGTAGAACACCACTCAGCACCTTTGACCAATCTGATTTTTTTTTATCCCTAATTATAAAATGCTTTTTTATTTGATAAATAGACTTTTTTTTTTTTTTTTTTTTTTTTTTTAACATCTTCACTTCCAACAAGGCTGCAAGCAACCACTATAAGAGTTGGAAGTTACTGGAAGAGAAAAGACTAAATCTGTAGAGCAAGATAACGATTGACTGATGACTTAAAAGATTGCAAATTATATGAATCAGGAAAGCAAGATGAAGGAAGCGAATTCCAAAGAACTGATGTTCGAGGAAAAAAACTAGAAGAATAAGAGTTTTTGAAGCACTTAGGAACAGTCACAGAAAAAGGATGAGACTTAATTGAATGGCGAGTAACACGAGAATGAATTTTAGTAGATGGCACAAGGGACGCTAGCTCTTTAGAGCAGTGCCCATTATAGTATTTGTAGAAAAGAGAAAGAGAAGCAACATTACGACGATGTGACAAAGGTTGGAGATTGGCTGCCAGAGCAGGTCCAACTATGTTTACAATTCGTTTTTACACCTTGTCTAAAAGAGAAAGAGCATCATTAGAAGATCCGCCCCAGATGTGGCAACAGTATTCCATACAGGGACGGATTTGAGATTTATAGAGATAGAGAATAGAATCTGGAGTAAGAAAGTGTCGAGCTCGATAAAGAGATGCAACTTTAGCAGATGCTAATTTTGCAATGGATTTGATATACGGTTTAAAAGAAAGATCAGAAGTAAGAGTTAATCCTAGAAGATGAATGGTAGATGACTCATCTAGTACATTACCATTCATAAATATAGGAAGATCTAAATTATTACGATAACGATTGGCCAAATAAAATTGAGTTTTATCTGAATTAAAGTTCACCAGCCACTGTGAGCCCCATGCTGTAGCAGAAGTGAGATCCTTTTCAAGCTCAGATACCCCCTCCAAGCTATCAGAGAGTGTAGGCTTCTTATCATGACAAGAGTAAATGGTAGTGTCGTCAGCGAATAATGCCACCTTAGATGTGAGAATATCTGGAAGATCGTTAATGTAAATTAAAAAGAGTATAGGGCCAAGGATTGAACCTTGAGGAACCCCTGAAGTTACAGGATGTGAAGAAGAGTGTTGTCCATCGAGGACAACTTTTATACTACGATTGGAAAGAAAGGACTCAATAATCTTAAAGGCGTTACCAGCTACACCATAAGAAGAAAGCTTATGGAGAAGACCAGCATGCCAAACTTTATCAAAAGCTTTAGAAATGTCAAGTGCGATAGCCTTAACCTCTCCACCTCTATCTAATGCACGGTAAAATCTATCGGTTATTACTGTTAGCACATCAGCTGTAGAACGAGGAGACCGAAATCCATATTGATGATCAGAAAGTAAGTTATTTGATTCAAGATGAGAGATTAAGTGTTTGTTGATTAAAGATTCAAAAACCTTGCTTATGACAAGAAGAAGACTAATGGGACGGTAGTTAGATGAATCAGATCGCTCTCCGGAATTTTTGAAAATAGGGATAACAGATTCTGCTTTCCAGCATGATGGAAAACAAGACTCTGATAAGCACTTGTTAAATAGTTTAAAAAGTATGGATGAAAGCTCCGGAGAACACCTCTGCAAAACTACAATAGGAATGTTGTCAGGACCACAAGCTGTTGAAGAGTCTAAGCAGGAAATTACTTTAGATACAGAAGCTGAAGTGATGCGAATGTCAAGCAAGGGATCAACCTGTTTGACGGCTATGTCTGTTTGACTTCTATCCATGTTAACAAATAACCACTTGGTTTTCATATTCGTCTTTTATGAATTACTGCATCAAATGTTTTTTGGAAATCAGTATATAAAATGTCTATCAATTTGTCTATAATTAATTAGTATACTATAAGATCTAAGCAGGGTTTGACAAATGTGTAAATGATAAGAATTTAAATTATCTTTAAATCGTTAGATATCATTTGTTAACAAATCAGCAAACAATATGAAACAATTTAAAGATATGGAAAAAAATCTGCTTTCATTTTTCTGTTTTTATTTTGATAACATTATTTAGAAATAAAATAAAAAATTTGTTTGACCATTATTTTTTAAAAATGATTTCATTCAGAATTAATGTTTGTTTTTCTTATTTTATTTTATATATTTAATCTAGAACTTTATTAAAACATTTATTTTTTCACTCTTACATTAATTTATTTAGACTTTAAATCAAAAAATTGTTTTAACTTTTTTATTTTATTTATCTTATTTAGAAATAAAATATTGTTTATTAAATATTTATTTAGAAATACCATTTTTGTTATAATTTTTTATTTTATTTATCTTATTTAGAAATAAAATATTGTTTTACCATTTTTGTTATAATTTTTTATTTTATTTATCTTATTTAGAAATAAAATTTGTTTTACCATTTTTGTTATAATTATTTTATTTAGAATTAAAATAAAATGTTTGTTTTGTGTTTTTTATTTTAATTGATATAGCAAATAAAATGAAGTTTTAAAATCACACAGCCTGTAACTGTTCTCTGTAACTGTTCTCTGTAACTGTTCTCTGTAAATTACAAGTAGAGAAGACTGTTAACAAACATATATTAAAAGAAATGTCAATATTTTTTTTTTTTTTTCCCGACTGTACTAATGAGTCCAATATATTTACAATACCGTTTTTAACTTTAAAAAAGTCAAGTTGCTGATTTCCTAATAAGAATATTTGATTCTTAATAATTTATTAAGGTACTTAATAGTTCATAGTTTTTTTTAAATATATGACTCACCATTTTCTAGAGTTCAGGAAGATCACTAATCATTAAAATTTGTTGATATATAATTAACAGTGTTAATGAAAAACTTTCAATGCAAAATCTTAACGCAAGAGTTCACTTCATTGTATCCAATAGATTTATTTTTGTCTAATTTATTATATATTTATAGCTTTTAGTTTTACAGTAGGTATATATTTCTTGTATGATTGATAATGATATAAAAACTTATTATAATAACTGTCAATTGGTAAGTTTTTAAAATTTTCGGCCCAATTTATGATATTTATATACATATGTATTTGACAGATAATTATACAAGATAATTAAAGTTCTAATGATACTTTGACAAAAGGTTACTATGACAATTCATAGTATCTTTAAAAAATTGGTTTTTAACACAAGCATATTAAAAGCATTTTAAACATACATAATAGGTTTGTACATTTTAAACACAAACAAATTACACACTTCAAACATTCATAATAGGTTTGTACATTGTAAAATATTTTTAAATCAGCAATGATTTAAAACAAAAAAGTATTTATTAATTTTTGTTTAGATGTTCCAAGTTCGTCTAAAAAGCTATGCGGGTGTTCAGCTTCAACAATTAAGGTGATGACTGGGATTGTTATCGTTATTTTAATTGCTATGTCTAGCACAGGAGCTACACAAACTGGGAAGAGTGTATTCTCAAACAATTTTAGAGCACCATTTTTTACTACTTGGGTTTCAACTTGTTTCATGGCTATAACTTATCCTGTTTTTATGATTAGTTTACTCTTTAAAAAATCAGCATTTCGATTACGTTCCTTCTTACAGTAAGTTACTTGTTTTGGTTGTTTTGTTTATTTATGCATATAATAACTATAAAATACATTACCTTTCTTAATTAAGCCAAATCAGTAAATAAAACGATAATGTTTAATAAATGAAACACCAAATAAAAAACTTTTTCTTAATAATAGCTTTGGTTATTTATTATTATTTTATTTTAGAAAAAGTGAACTATTGTTTGGTAGCCAAGGCTTCTGCGTACAAAGACTTTTCTATTTCTCATTACGGTACACTTTGCCATTTTGTGTTCTTTGGCTACTCACTAATTATCTCTACTATCTATCCCTTGAAAAACTTTTACCTGGTACAACCACTGCAGTGTTTTCTTCCTCAAGTTGTTTTGTATACATATTCTCATTGATATTTTTGAAAGATAGTTTTTATGTGATAAGGGTAAGTTTAGTATTATTATTCCTAGTTTTAAATAACAACTGTTATTAAATTAAACCTGGGTTTAGCTCTCTGAATTTAGGTTGTTACTCAGCACATACTGATCATAAAACTGTCCAATAATTTATAATTTTTTTTGTTTGATTTTGTTTATAAGTTATGTTTGATATATTGATAAATCATAACCTACTAAAATATGTGGCCATATTAGTTATATTTTGAAGGCCAGTTACAAGTGGCCTTTTTATAAAAAACTGCACAATCACAGATAGAAGAAGATGCTCAAGAAAAAGATGCTCAACATGGAAAAAGGTGCTCAAGATAAAAAAAGATACTCATAATGGAGGAAGATGCTCACGATTAAACAAAATGCTTAGTATGGAGAAAGGTGCTCAAAATGGATGAAGATGCTCAAGATAAAGGAAGATGCTCCAGATAGAGGAAGATGCTCAAGATTGAAGAAGATGCTTACGATTATGTATATTGGGGAAATAGTATTATGAAAGTGATTATTGTCGTTGTCGCAATTATTAATAATGTACAATCTTTCTGCTCAGTCAGCAAATTAATTGACCTTGAGTCAATTATGTCAAAATTATTAATAGTAGAAGTCTATTATTAAAAAATTTTGAATAAATATTAAGAATAATCTAATATTAAAAATTTTGAATAAATATTAAGAAAAAGCTTTGAATCCCCCCAGCACTTGTACCTGTGAGAAAACATAGATCTTGAACCCAAGTTGACACCATCAGACTGTTGATCACCACCTTCACTATCAAGAATCATAAGTAAACTGAAGAAAAATTTAGGAATATTGTCAAAAGCTGACACAGTTTTTATCAACGTCAGGTTTATCTTGAGTTTCAGCTTAAAATAGAAAAGCATTGAGATGAAAGTTGGAAAGTTCACAATAAAATTGTATAAAAATTAAAATTGGAACATGACATATAAGCATGTTTGAAACAGAGGTTTGGATTCTGACTAATTGCATTTCCTGTAAGTAAAATCCCATACAAAAAAGTTATATAAAAATTGCTTTATTTTCAGTGGCTGGTGAACTTTATCTCAGATAAAACTCAATTTTTTTCAGCTAATTTTTATTGTGAAAATATAGATCTTCCTATATTTATGAGCGGTAATGTACTTAATGAGTCATCTACCCTTCGTCTTCCAGGATTAACTCTTACTTCTGATCATTCTTGGAAACCATATATCAAATCCATTGCAAGATGAGCATCACTTTTTTACTCTGGATTCTTAATCTCTTAAAATCTTAAATCCATTTTTGTTGTCATATCTTATAAAATCATTCTTGGAATCATTCTTGTATGGAATACTGTTGCCATATCTAGAGTGGATCTTCAAATGATGTCCTTTCTCTTTTAGGCAAAGTGTAAAAATGCATTGTAAACATAGTTAGACCTGCACTTGCAACTAACCTTTAACCATTTGCACTTGCAACTAACCTTTAACCATTGTCACTTGTCATAATGTTGTCTCTCTTTCTCTTTTTTATAAGTAATTTAATTCTCATCCTTTTACTGTGACTGTTAATTTTTTTTTGTTATTCACCTCTTCAAGGCCAAGTTGGCCACTACAGACAAGGAGGCTACTTAATAGTGGTTATAACCCTCTCTCAACTCTATAACTCCGAAACACGAACTTTGGCGAACAAGGCCGCTGCGCGGAGAAACAAGTTGAGCGCGGTACTACCAGAGACGTGGTGGGGATTGTACTCGGAACCTCTCGCTTATGAAGCAAGTGTTTTACCACTACACCACTATTGCATTAGTGCACCAAAAGTTCTTATTCGTCTAGTTTTTTTCCTTAAACATAGGTTCTTTGGAATTCGCTCCCTTTTTCTGATTCATATAATTTGCCATCTTAAGTTGTCTGTTATTTGTCTTCTTGCTTTATAAACTTCATATTTTCTCTTTCAATAAATTCCAAATCTAATCCATAATGAAAATTCCATAATGGTGAAAATTACATTGTGTTCAAAAAATTTCTCCAAAGTTTTATTTATAGAAAATGTAAGCATACATATTTTTTTTTGGCAGCTTGCAGTTTACTGCATGTCACATAGTGTTATATAACTTTATGGATTGTGCAGAAGTGTGAGTGCACTGTTGCATGCTGTTTATGGAAAAGCCTATAATAATTGCATTGTTAAGTTAAATACATTTTAAATAGTTGTGACATCAATAAGAAAAAGATAAATACAGCAATATATAAAGATAAATATTATTTAAATTTTTTTTTTAGCTTATTAGCATCTTATTATCAATTGGTGGAATTGTTGTTTTTAGTTACACTCTGGGATTTGGAAGTGTAAATACATATGGGATATTATACATAGTTCTTTCATCTATCGGAGCTGCATCATATCAGGTGTTGTATTTTAAATAAACATAACATTTAGTGAATAGTTTCATTATATTGTTATTGTTATTATATTTATTATTGATGTTTATAATCATGTTTTTTTATGGAAATGGAAATATTTGTATAAACAGACTGAGAAATGTATGAGAATATAAATAAAGATAAACAAACATTTTGAAAAAATTTAAGACCTCTTGTGAAACATATAATGAAAATAACAACAATGTTTCAAGTAAAGTGAATTTAATAAAAGTCCTCTTCCATACTCAGGAATTATCTTTTATCTCGTATCTTCCATACTATCGAAGCTGTACAAATATTAGATACTAGCTGAATTGACCCGTAAAATTACGGGTCTTTGTAAGTCTATTCCACACAAACCTTTTGCCTTATTTTCTTAATCTAGCTGTCCGTATCGGTATATACAGGTCTTTTCTTCTACTTCTATATTTATCAATTCCACGCCAATCATTTCTTTACTTGTTCTTTATTTACTTCAATATTTTTTAGTAAACTGTGGAAAAAAAATTCAATAAAAAAATTTGCTTTGAGAGCAAAAAAAAACTTTAACATACGCACTTTTTCTGCATGCATATATAGCTTATTAAACCCCGTTTATTTATTTATTTTTTTTTTAAAAATTTTGAACTAAACTACTTCCTACTTTTAGACCAGCCATGGACCATGGTTTATGGTCGCGTCCTAGCCATATTCAATAGTTTGCTATATTTATTATTATTAATCTTTGTATTAGACGGAAACGGTAATGCAATTCTTTAAAACGTTAGTAGCTTAAAGCGTCAAAAGTCATGCAAAAAAATAAATTATAAATTTTGTGGTTTAAAAGTTGAAAAACTAATAATAATATAACAAAAAGTTTAGTAATTTTTAAACGTTATTATTTAGCTCTTACTTATGGTATTTATTTTGTTTTCATTTTACATTTTTAAAAAAATGTTGAAGCACCTAACTACATGCATAACTTTGATAGCTCACATGTTAAGTGCGCAGTCATCAGAGTCGCTGTGCAAGGCTTCAAATCCGCGCCTAAAAAATCTCAATACAATTTTTTTAATCTGGCTATATTTATAGCAAAAAATTAAATATAACAAAAAATCTTTTAATTGCTTTTTTTTCCCTGCCTCCACTGCAATACCACGTGGAGTAGCAGGACGGTTTTATCAAACTTTTTCCTTATTAGGTTTTAGGACCTTTTTTTTTAAGACTATCTGTAGCTTATTAGGACCAATTATGCGAGAACAGTATTAAAATCGTGACACACACACAAAATATTTTCGCCACGTTTATTGGTGTTTTAAGAAATCCAAAAAATTTATAAAATTAAAAAAAAACAACGGTTAAATTGTATAACGTTTAACTTGTTTAACTTCACAAATATTTTGTAATTTAAAGAAAAAAATTGCTGGCGGTAAATTTGAACCACGACTATTACGTTCAGAAGTTTAGCGCGCTAACCACTCGGCCATGCTGACACATCAAATATCGAAATTTTAAAAATATATAAAAATTGTTTTTAACGGAATTGCTGTAGATCAAAAAATTAGGAGAGGTTGACGCAATGCAATTTTTAAGTCAAAGTCAAAGTATAAAACTTGAAAAATGTTTCAGTAGTTTCATCATTACTTAATTACGTACGTTAGATATTTGCATACACGTTTTCTTCTAAAAAAAGTGTCGCGACTCTTTCTACTAACACTACTATTAAGTTTGGCATTATTATATAGAAGATAGATAGATTATAAAATAGTTTTTCACTTAAAAGGACAAACTCTATTCCACATTAACCTTATCTCTATTTCTCCCTCTAATATTTTTTAGTGAACAATAGATTATGTGCTAGAAAAAAATAATTCACATATGCACTTTTTCCGTATATTTATATTTAGAGCTTAACATGAAGGAGGTAAATCATTTAGTTCAAGACAACCTGCCCAAACCCAAATCCTCTGTTGATTTATGCACACTCACTGTCGCTAGGCGTGTAATATAAGTAGCTAGGCAAGTCAAATAAATTAACTTGATCTGTTTTTCTGCATAAAACAAAAACAGAAAATGTGAAGTACTTGATATAAGGAACTGTAATATTGGATTTAGTTTATTCAATACAAAGTGATAGGAAACTGCAAAATAAGGTAACAACGTGAAAATTATTCAAATACTAATTTACAACAATTTGTATTGCGTTTTATTAAAATAGCTTTATTAAATGGTATAAAGATTGATGATTCTTCTTCTTCGCCTTTAGAAAATGATTAACGATTTGAAAGACTTTTAAATTGATTATAAAAGCATTATCTAAAAATGAAATTAAATCATTATTGATAACAGTGAACGCACATTTATTTGTTTTATGTTAATTCATTTGAAAAATAAAAAATACGAAACGAAAGTTAGTAATATTAAGTAAATATTAGACACTTTGTGAGAGTGCTTTCGTAAAAGTCTCTAATATTTGGTTGGAAGGCTGGAATTACTCTTTTTTTTAAACAAAAATTCAGTTTTATCAGCATTGTCAAAGATAAAAATTCTTACTGGCACAAAAAAATTAGGCATTTTTTCTTAAAATATTTCTTGGCTTTTAGTGAATGATTAGGAGTAAGTTTCAGTAATGAAGCTACCCAATAATCATTTTTAACAATAGACACCAACGTGAAGGTAAGCCAAGCTGTCTATTAACACTAAACATCACAACAACATTACAGGATGAAAAACAATAACACCAGTAGTGTAGGCAAGATTTTTGTTGTTTCAGATATATATTTAGAAGCTGTTGAAGAGTTTAGCTTTGTTATGTCTAAAAAAATTCAGGTTAGGAATAACACTTTTTTTAAACATTTGCTCCTAAGCTTTAACAACATCAATTTTTTGCAAAGTATTTTAATTCTATAAACGTGAATACACTTAAGTTTGGTTGAAAGTGCTATCTGAAGCATCAAAAGACCCTGCCTATGCCACTGAATACACATAGCATAAAATGTTTGTACATAACACAAAATATTCAGATTATGTGTTTCTAGAATAATTAAAAAAGCTAGACAACACAACCTAGCTCAATACTTGTAACACCGCTTGGCACTAAACGCTGCTAAGTAACACCACAATTTAGTAACACCGCTTGGCATTAAGTGCCAAGTAACATCATTAGTAACACCGCTTGGCTAGCAAGAATCACAATCTTGCACTACACGTTGCCAAGTAACAACACTTTTCACATGGAAACAACTTAATATAAACTTATATAAACTTAAGCAAATAAATATAAATAAAGATATATAAACGCATATCTTATTAATTTTTTGCTATACTAATCTAAAATGAACAAAAACAATAAAGTGCTATTTATCAGTTTAAACCTATGAAACTATGTGTATAGCGTCTAATAAAATTTGTGAACAAAAGTTATAACTAAACTGGTTTGAAACAGAGAAAAAGCCAGAAGTATCTTGTAATAACATACTATATTATAAGTAATAAAACAGTTTTTTTTTGAAACAAATAAAAAATTTTATTATTTTAAAAGTCATATTAATGGTAATATTAAAAAGCAAAATTAGTTACAAATTTTTAAATGACATGCCAACAATTGCAAACATGTTGCATCATATAGACCACATGTGGCTGACAACTGATTTTAAATATTATTTTATAATATATCTAAAGAGAAAAATGTAAAGAGATTAATAGGTGTATAGTGCATATATTAGACATATTAAACAGACATCATAGAAAAAGAAAAATTTTAAATATACTTACCAAATCTTTCAAAAACTATATAACACTTAACAAATAAAAGTTAATACAAATGAAAATTTAGTATTATTAAAATTAAAAATGAGGATAAAAAGATGTAAAAACGTAAATTAATAAAAAAACTTATAGACAAATTATTAAAAACTTTTATAACATAAGAGTTCTTTGTAAGTTTAGGATTTAAAAACAGAATTAAAAATCAAAAAAATAAAATAGTAAAAGTATAAAAATTAAAATAATAAAAAATTAAAAAAAAACATTTTTTTAAAAAGTCAATTTTCTTTATAAATAAAAAGAAGATAATTCTACCAGTAGTTTAAAAAAGCTACTGGTAGAAATTAAAAGAGTTGAACCGCTTCCCAGCACCCCTCCTTTTACCAGTGGTGTCATATGGGGCTTGTCTCCTCCATCTAAAGGAGGGATCATCTCCACCATATTGACTCCACCGGGACCTGGGTGCTGGGAGCGATATCGCAAGAAATCTTGATGCGATGCTAAAAAACAAAAACTAAAAAAGAAATAAATTTGAATACAATACTGCACAAAACAACCAATAAAAATAATATATAAAACTATTTAGAATTTTAAAAAAAAAAAGTTATGAGAAAAAAATAAAATAAATAAAGTAATGTAAAAATAAGGATATGCAATGTTTAAACTTCATATATACCTACACAAATACACATAACACCCACAAAACTGCATAAGTATGCAAAACAGATTACCTGATGGTCCTGCAGATATTGTTGCTATTATGGAAATAAATAAAAAAAGTATATAAACAAACACATATATTAAACAGTTATGTAATTGCATACAAACATGAAAAAAGCAATGTTTAGGTTTCAATACACATAACACTGCATAAGTACGGAAAAACTGCATAAGTATGGAAAACACATTACCTGGTGGTACTGCAGTTGATACTGTTGCTATTGCAGAAATAAATAAAAAAGTATATAAACAAACACATATATTAAACAGTTATGTAATTGCATACAAACACGAAAAAAGTAATGTTTAAGTTTCAATACACATAACACTGCATAAATACAGAAAAACTGCATAAGTATGGAAAACACATTACCTGGTGGTACTGCAGTTGATACTGTTGCTATTGCAGAAATAAATAAAAAAGTATATAAACAAACACATATATTAAACAGTTATGTAATTGCATACAAACACGAAAAAAGTAATGTTTAAGTTCCAATACACATAACACTCATAAAACT